CTTCTCTTCTATTTGTCACTGTCTCTGATTTCCTGGGAATAGAACATAAAAGTTAGTTAAAGCGTCAATATCACGGATCTAAAACTCCACCATTCAGTAACTGACACGTGTCCGTAGGACCATCAAAATACGTGTATAAGTGGGCCTATATATCAAAGCAAAAGACCGTTTTCTTCTTTGACCTATCATCATCTTCCTAAACCCTATAAATCGCTTCAAAACAGAGTCACTCCGGCTCCGGCGGTTCTCGCTCTCTCTTTCTTCATCTCGTTCCGGTAGATTGTTCTTCCACTCGACTCCAATTTTGAGACTGATTTCGTCTTTTTTTTTAATAAGATTTGTGAGGGAATTTGGAACTGCTAATTTCAGTATCAAACCTATAAAAACTACAAAAATATTTTGATGTTTTTTTCTTTTTCTTTTTTCTTGTGGATTAAAAAGGATTAGATTAAGGTAAATTCAAGAGTAATGGGTATTATTAATTCATTGAGTTGGTTGAAAAAGTTGGATTCTTTCATTTGTACTTTTTGCAAATTTCAGATTTGTCTTTATAATAAGAAAGGAGGAGACGGTGGAGTAAGATCTTTGTCATAAAAAGCAAATTTCATTACTTTTTTGCATGTTTTTGTGCATTGTGATGTTTCTCTAATTGGAATTGGGCACATTGCGTTTTCCTTTTCTCAGAAAAAGCAAAGCAAAATTGACATTTGCTACTAAGTAACAAAACAAAACTGTCAAGTTCATCTTTTATAGTTGATGGAAAAAGACTGAAATCATCACAAGTTTAGCAAAAATGTGAATACAAACATTGATTGTATGGTTAAGTGCGAGATTTGGAGTTAATACATAAATATTTAGCTTCCCTTTTTGTGTGGTTAGGTCATTAAAAGACTGGAACCAAAGGCTAAACATCTGAACAGAGCAACAAGTTATGGAGGAAGAAAGAGTGGGAAGCTCGAAGAGCCTTTTTCGAGGAATCGTAGCAGATCTTAAAGGAAGAGCCTTGTGTTACAAGCAAGACTGGATCGCTGGTCTTCGTTCTGGTTTCGGGTACTTAAAGACCTGATTTCACTCTTAAAACACTCAAGAATTCTATTCTTACTGAGACAAGAGAAGAACAAAGTTGTGATTTCTTTGGAGGTTTTGCAGGATTTTAGCACCAACGACATACATTTTCTTCGCTTCTGCGCTTCCTGTAATCGCCTTTGGCGAACAACTCAGCCGCGATACAGGTCTATTTCTTTGAATCTTCTCTCTATCTTTCTTCTTTGATGTTTTCACTGTTTGTGTTCACGTTTATTTGGTGGAACAAAAGTCTTCAAGTTGCACACGTTTGGTCTGCTTTTTTTTTATGGGGATTTAGTTTTGCATTTTTATGATCTGAACAAATTTGTTTTGAATATACTTTGGGGTGATTGTAGAGGGAGCGTTGAGCACAGTAGAAACTTTAGCATCAACTGCATTATGTGGAGTGATACACTCGATATTGGGAGGACAACCATTGTTGATACTTGGAGTTGCAGAACCAACTGTCTTAATGTACGTTTACTTGTACAACTTCGCTAAAGGAAGACCAGAATTGGGAAAACAACTCTACTTAGCTTGGGCTGCTTGGTAATAATACACCAAAACATTCTTCATTTTTGTGTGTTTTCTGTAAAGTTATGGTTTTTATTATGGTTTTGTTGGCTGTTAAATTGAAGGGTTTGTGTGTGGACGGCTCTGTTACTGTTCCTGATGGCAATCCTCAACGCGGCTGATATTATTAATCGGTTCACGAGGATCGCGGGTGAGCTGTTTGGTATGTTGATCTCCGCTCTGTTCATCCAGCAAGCCATTAAGGTATTTACCAATAACATATCTTAAATTGTAATGATCATCAAAGATATGTTATGTTATCAAATGAAATTGCAGGGAATGGTGAGCGAATTTGGGATGCCGAAAGACGAGGACTCAAAACTTGAAAAGTACCGGTTTGAGTGGCTATACACAAATGGACTTCTCGGTCTCATTTTCACCTTTGGCCTTCTTTACACCACTTTGAAGAGTAGAAAAGCGAGGTCTTGGCGATACGGAACAGGTAAGAGAGATTTATTAGCCCACACATTGGTGATGAATTTTGTATTAAATCAAAACGAGGCCTTAAAACTCTTATTTCTTGAAAAGGATGGTACAGAAGCTTCATCGCAGACTACGGAGTTCCTTTGATGGTTGTGGTTTGGACAGCATTGTCTTTCAGTACGCCATCAAAACTCTCCTCTGGTGTCCCGAGAAGACTCTTTAGTCCTCTTCCATGGGACTTCGCTTCTTTAGCACATTGGACTGTCATCGAGGTTACTACAACACAAACACAAACTACATTTAAGATCTTGATTTCATCATTTGAACCTCTTTAAGACCTGTCTTTGGCTTTGGTATGTACAGGACATGGGGAAAGTTTCTCCAGGCTACATTTTGGCGGCGTTCATACCCGCAGTGATGATTGCAGGGCTCTACTTCTTTGATCACAGCGTTGCCTCGCAGCTCGCACAGCAGAAGGAGTTCAATCTCAAGAATCCTTCCGCGTATCACTACGACATTCTCTTGTTGGGTTTCATGGTAATCAATCAATCTCAAGAGCCTTTCTTATCACTACAACATTGACTCTTGTAATCTCCAAAACTGTGGGTTTGGCAGACGTTGATCTGTGGATTGCTCGGTCTTCCTCCTTCCAACGGAGTCCTTCCTCAGTCTCCTATGCATACCAAAAGCCTCGCTGTTCTCAAACGACAGGTTTAACTAATACTTCATAGAATCGACATTCGATATTCAAATTTTTGAAAATGGTGGTTTCTCTTCAGTTAATCCGGAGGAAGATGGTGAAGACGGCCAAAGAAAGCATCAGGAAGAGAGCAAGTTCTTCCCAAGTGTACGAGAATATGCAAGAAGTCTTCATAGAAATGGACAAAAGCCCACTTGTAAGTACTAGACTCATAATTCAATATTCCAGTAAAAGAAAAAAGATCAGGCTTTTCATAAACATAACCTCTTATTTTAATTACAGGCTCCAACAAACACACAAGTAATAATTGAGCTGCAAGATCTGA